AATAAATAAATAAATAAATAAATAAATAAATAAATACCAGACTACCCTCATGATATTGTCTGATCCCTGACATATTATCTAAAAATGTACATAAAACCTACATTTAGTCCACATTGATCTAAGAATAAAGAATATTGGTATGTAAAAAATATCAACTTTGCTGAGTGTTCTTTCCAAAAAAATAATAATTTTAACTGTCAGAGGAAAGCTATCTGAGAATTGATGGGATGACCCCAGGGAATGTATAGTCCTGGCTCCCCTAACAATGCAGATCCATTCTGAGGCAGGCGTTGTTAGATGATTTTGTCATTGTGTAAACTCAAGGTGTGCTCACCCAACCCTAGTTGAAGTAACCTTCTGCACGCTCAGGATATGTGATATATTCTGTATGTCTCTGTCTGTCTGTCTGTCTGTCTGTCTGTCTGTCTGTCTCTGTCTGTCTGTCTATCTGTCTCTGTCTGTCTGTCTCTGTCTCCTCTCCACCTCCACTTATCTCTCTCCCCTCTCCCCACCCCTCATTTTCTCTCCCCACATCCATCCATCCTCCCACTGAATTACTGTGCAAGCAAAGTGATGAAAACCAGTCAAGCTATGTGGCAAACATCAATTTGTTCTAGAACCCATACTAATAGTGTTAGTTTACATATGCTACTTCACAGCCGATCTTTCCCGTCTAACAGGTTAGCTAATGTTAGACCGCGTATACAACAATGGCCCCGCGCGACTGTAATCGAGCCGAAATGCTCTATGGTCGAAGGATGACTTAGCCATTGCAGTGGGAAGAGCAGTACGTCTGACTGCCTCTGATATACCCGTATCATTCAGTTACATGCTCTCGTGAGACTGGCATTCCTATGGCAATGATGACCAAACAGCACAAGCTTAAATAAGACACAGTAGATAATGACACAGTCATGAGCTATGGTAAACACAAGCTGCATGAAGCTGCTGCCCACACCACATAAAATAGCATAGCATGTTACAGTAAACCCTGATGTACAATGAATGCAAGGAATGTGCTCTAATATATTGATAAAAAGTGTAGGGTACATTAGCCACTAACATGATCATTATCAAGTATTATGCATTATACAGAACTGCATGTGCTTCCCTTTTATACAACGGCCAGTGCAGAGATTTGTTTCCAGCGGCATCTCCACAAGCATTGCGTAATGTACTGCTCTTCCCATTGCAATGGCTGAGTCATCCTTAGACCGTAGAGCCTTTCACCTCAATTACAGTCTCGCGGGGCCAGACTGTATACGTGTCGTATACGTGGTCTAACATTTGATAAACTGCTAGGTGTGAAAGATCAACTGTGAAGTAGCATATGTAGACTAACATTATTAGTATGGATTTTAGAACAAATTGTTGTTTTCCACTATAGCTTGACCATAGATTTCATCACTTTGCTTGCAAGGTAATCCAATGGGAGGAAGTGAAATTTGGCGAGTTCTCATATATGAAGGTTCAATGAAAAAGTATAGTGTACTAATATTGTTGCTGTATTATTATATTTTTTTCCAAGAAAGAAATGCTAGGGTAGTAAGAGCCATGTAAGGGACTTAGTGCTGGAAATTTCTGGAAGGGAACTACAAAGTGCATGCAAGCTCGGAGCGCCACCAACTGAGAGGCAGGTTTGACCCCAGAAGGAGAGAGGGAAGGAGGATGAAGACTGAGTTTGAAGGACTCGGGTGTGGTGAGGTCCTAAGGGAATACAGTAAGGTCACTGCAAAGTACTTCAGCCAGAAATGCCCAGCAGGGAGTGCTGAGGGAGCGTAAGGCCTTTTAGAAAAGTATCTGCTTGGTCCTCGAGTGACATCAGCTTGTGTAAGTGAGGCCTGGGATAGACACAGGAGCGGATTTCTGAACTTGCGGTCTGGGGCAGGAAATTAACTACGCTCCCTTGTAGCTGGAGCTATGTCCTCAGAGCTGGTTTCTAATAACTGAATTACTTATTATATTATTTTGATGTTATATTTCCTTCAGGAGCAAAAGCTATTCTGAAATGAATTAAGTTGGAAAAGGATGGCTTAAGAAATGAAGTTCTGGAATATATTATTAGTAGAATTTTTGGAGATTTTATTAGTAATGTAGATAAATGCTATTTTTCTTTTATCGCACTCTGCTTTTAAAATGGAGCATAAATTTATATGTTTTATGTATAGCTTCAAACATAATGTAAAGTTTTAAAAATAACACATTTAATGAAAGTAAAAATCCAGTGACAGGCAATCCTGAGGGAACACACTGGTTGGAGGAGTGAAAAAAGAAAAGATTTAGGTTCTGCTCAAATTGCCTAAACATTAATCTCTTACAGTAGCTGTTACAAGTGCAGACTTTAGATTATCTTTATCTAAAAGTTATGATGTAACTATATATCTATCCTAACCATTTTGAATACACAGATACAAAATGGGCATTCATCTGTATCCCTTTTTTGTTTAGTTTTGTCATTTGAATGATAATAAAACAATAAAAGCTATGATGTTTCTTTGTAGCAGTGTCAGTGTGTCCTAGCTTTGGCGGATGAGTTGAAGTCCTAAGGTTGCATTTCTGGAAGCGTTAAACACTTCCAGGCTTGTACCAGCCTGTCCTATGACATCGGAAACTCCCTTTCCCCTCGCTTCCTTAAACGCTGTGTAATTCATTTATTTTCTAAAAAGTCTTTTGGAGCGCCTCTTCAGTGACCAGTACGTCACTGTGGAGTGAGAGCCTAAAACAGTCTTCTTAAATGAATAAATGAGTAGCTGCTGTAACCTTTGGGAAAAGGGAACTGCATTGTGCCAGTGCCTTTGATCCTGCTTTGGATGTCAGCTTTCTTTGTTCACTCAAGGGCTGTGTGGTGCATCTCAACGAAAGTGTATTCACCAAGAACAGAGTTTTATGTTATGTGCTAGGGACACTACCAGCAGTAAAACAGGTACAGATTTCTGACATCAAGATGTTACAGTCAGATGAAAGGACATCACTGATAAACTAAGCTGAAAGGTAGCGGGTGATGCATGCAGTGTGGGAAAATCTAGGAAGAGGACTGCAATGTATAGTACTAAGACAACAGAACTCTGTGTGTGGTGTGTGTGTGTGCAGACACACACACACACACTCACCAGCACACATAAGGCCAATCATAGTCATTTTAAAAAAGCTTTATTGAAGATCTAAAACCTAAAAGATTGCAGGAATGAGGTGTGAGATTACCTGGATGTCTCACAGGGCAATGGGATTATAGATTTAGGGGCCGGGGAGATGGCTCAGTAGAATAAGCGCTTCCCTGGCATGCGCTAGGGTCTGAGTTGAATCCCTGGTTCTGGAAAAAAAAAAAAAGGATTATAGATTTTACTATACGAAAAAGACACTGGAGGATTTCGAGCTGGTGAGTGGCATCTGAGAAGCAGTGTGATGTAACTTATCCTGGCTTGCCTTGTCCCGTGTCTGGCTGACATGAGACAGAGACAGCGGAGAAGGCAAACCAGGATGAAGGGTCCCCGAGCCGCCTCAGGAAGACAGTGACCATGACTTTCCGACATGACACGCTGTCAATGCTGAGAAACAATATGAAGAACAAAGGCGAGAATATTTCCGCTAAAGAAAAGTCTTCCTATCAAGTGACTTGCATTAAACCTAATAGATTGTAATAAGAGTACAATAAAATTCCATTCATTATTTGAATGGCGTATGTTTTCATTTTGATAGAATACTCATTTGGGAGGATGGTAGCTTGGAAATCAATAACATCACGAGGAATGACGGAGGCGTTTACACTTGCTTCGCTGAAAACAATAGAGGGAAGGCTAATAGCACGGGGACACTTGTTATCACAAGTAAGAGCTCATTGCTATTTTATTAATTATTTTAAAGTCTGAGAATGCTTAATTTCTCCTGTGGGGTGGAGCTCATCTTCTATAAAGAATCCCTGTATGGAAGTGTTTCTCCTTCCTATTAAAGTGCTTCCTGAACCTTGGACGTGAAAACATCATTATCTCTTTGCATAGAAAAATCAAAATATGTTGATAATCAGCCTTTACTGTACACTGCATAATATGATGAATTATAATTGATCTGTGTGATACATGATCTGTGTAATGAATTGTAATTTAACTTATCCTGGATTATAATAATTTCTTTAAATCACTGATTTCATTCCTTAAGAATAAACCATTCAATATGTATGCTAAAGCACTTATTTTATTTTCTGAGGAGAAAATGCACTCTGTAGAATAGGAGGACACAGTTGAATTGTGCTTTCCTCTTTTGTGTAAACCCATGTAGATCCCACGCGAATCATCTTGGCCCCGATCAACGCTGATATCACAGTTGGAGAGAACGCCACCATGCAGTGCGCTGCGTCCTTCGATCCCGCCTTGGACCTCACGTTCGTTTGGTCTTTCAACGGCTACGTGATTGACTTCACTAAGGAGAATATTCACTACCAGAGGAATTATATGGTATGTGTGCTGAGCTCCACCTTATTAGTGCCTGCGCTGAAATTCTACCAGAGACATATTTCACATGCTTTTCCATTTTCTTGAAACTGAAAACCAAGGAGAAAACAAGCAAACACTTTCATGATAATTCTGTCCTCCTTGAAAAGGGCTGGCCCCAAAGATTTTGGTAAAAACATTAATTGATAAATATCCATTGGGTTTCAGCTACATTTATAAATATTCACTGGGTTCATTCCCCCAATATTAATATTTTATATATATTTATGCATACTGTACTACATATGTATTGTATAGGTACTAGAGCATCTAGTACTTTCATTTTTAATGTAAGATAAAAGCATAGTAGTTATCCTTGATGATAATAATAACATAGATTATTTATTTTATACCATTAAGTATAAACAAATATGTGTGAAAAAGCATTTATTTTACTTTTTGAGGATAAGCAATCAAATATGTACTTTGGAAGAAGAATTAGCCCGTGTGATTTGTAAAAGATGAAATGGCACTATTTGAATCATTAGCGCATACGTACTGTAAGGGCCATAATTAGGCAGAAAGGAATAAAATAGCAGAAAGGACTAGAAACACTGCAGGAGGACAGACTTGGCGGAAGCATCGCTGGTGGCATAGTGACAGTCGGCTCACTTGCGGCACCTTCAGAAGGGGCGTGTCCCTGGCTCTCCTTGCCTCTTCTCTAGAAGCAGCAATTGAGAAGTCAGAGATCCATTTGGAACACACCTCAGTTAAGAAAAGCTTTCATTTTGGAATTAGTTATTAATAAAGGTGCAAATCTTGGGTTAACTCTAAGATATTTATGATTTCTAGAACCATGTAAAATCTGGATTTGTGTGGACACATTGTAACATTGTCATGCTTTTTGATCCTCTAGTTCTTTGTAATAACTAGAGCGAACTTTTAACTGCAAAATGCAAAGCAGCTTTGAGTCAAGTTGAGTAAGATTCACTTCATTTGAATGGAGGCTTTTCCTTCTGCATGAGACAAACGCACAGGAAGAGCTGTGGACGTCTACAACTTGGCCTCTGTGTTTGTTCACTGTGACTTTAGTTCTTTTTTATTTACCTGGTCTGATTATTACTGGAAACCTACAGGAACCCTGCCAGTTTGGCTTCTGAACCAACACTACAATATTTCAAAAAATCAGAGAATCAACAGAGAACTCCAGGGCCGGCCAAATAGCTCAGCAGACTAAAGTGCCTGCCTAGGCAGATGCAGCGGCCTGGATTTGATCCCCAGTGTGCTGTGCCGGCCCCGCTCCTGGGGCGCACTGAGACAGCATTTGAGACTGGGCGTGGTAGCGCAGGTCTGTAATCCCAGCTCTTTGGGAGGATGAACACAGGCGGATCACTACGAGTCAGATCTGCATAGTGAGACCCTGTAGGCCCTTACTAAAACAAAACAAAACAGCCCGGAGAACTCCAAATGTCATACTCTGCCACTATACCACGTGGTGTTTTCCTTCATATGACTGACCCTATTCTGAGATGCCTAATACAGACAGGCCCACCACTTAAAGTTGGTACCAAGGGCTTTAGCAACGTAATTGTCTCCCAAATCATGAGGTCTTTGGGCGAAGAAAGTCAGTGGCACTTGGCTTTCCCTCATATAAAGGAAGAGTGAGCTAACCAGAGATGCTTTTTGGAAAAAAGACCTGAGTTTGCTTAACTCTGTGGCACTGTGAATTCAGCGATTCCACAGAAGCCGTCTGGAAGTGTGATACGCATACTTTATGAAGTAGTGATTTATTAGCTTCAGTAAAGTCTGTGTAACATTTGGAGACATAAATCCCCTTAATTAAGCTAAAAATTCATATTTATGGCCCATATGTGTTTTTTAAAATAATAAGATACGCTGGCCTATTTGATGTAAATAACAATGGAAAGGAAAATGAAAGGGAGAAAGAAGGAGAACGGATGGAAGCAGGGCAAGCAAGGGAGAAAACAGATAAATGGAGAAGTGATGGAGAAAGAAGAAGCGTGACCCTAAAGAGCAGTGCTAGCGGTAGTCATGCCCTTCACGCCTGCCTTTGCAGCTGACACCGGCAAAGGTCCACACGGTCGCCTCTGGGCCGCAGGCCTCCTTTCGGGCCTCGCGAGGCCTGAGCTCTTTGCAGCAGGCCGTGACCCACCTGTGCTGGTAAGCCTGTCCATTGGCTAGAGATGCCGGAACCCTGAACAGAAAACCAGCTGCACACACGTGGGTGGGTTACGTTCTCCAAAGGAAAAAAGGAGATAAGTGTTTGTTTTAAAGTTGATTATGAAACTTAATAGTGTCTTTTGAAGCTACGAAAGGCCAATAAAGTTTCCTGTAGCATCTTCCTTGATCTTGAAGGCCAATTTCAAAGGCAGGCTTCCCTACTGAATGCGCCACAGAAAATTTATATAAAACTATCAGAAATGTTGGACCCATCTTTGACGAGGTAGTCCTAACAGCTAGTAATTATTTCTAGGTTTTTTTAATACACAGGAATGGCTCTTCCTAACCGAAGCTTAGTGGATGAAGGCATAGTAGGGATAGCGTGGGTCAGGATGGCAGGTGTGAAGGCAGGAACACAGCTGACTGATTTGTCCGTTATTCAGAATTGCATGAGCAAAAATGTGAGAGAGACAGATGCAGAGAGACAGAGAGAGAGAGAGAGACAGAGACAGACATATGCACAGAGAGAGGGAGAGAGACAGAGAGACAGAGACAGACACAGAGAGAAACAGGCACAGAGAGAGACAGAGACAGAGACAGAGTGACAGGAAAACAGAAGGACAGAAAGGATCTCAAAGAATGTTTATTTGGTTTTTTTCTGGCAACATTGGAACAATTGAAAAAGTCTTTTTGTTTTTAAAGAACTAAGCCACAAGCAGCCACAGCGAGTGGTGTCTTCGTGTAAATAAAGCATGGCATAAAATGAGGACAAATACCAATTCTAAGGAATTCTAAAGAAATCAGAGATCCGTGTAGATTCAAACTCAGACGGACAGTTTTAGTTATTAAACTGATGTTGTTAATTACCTTAATTACTACAAATTAATATTAGAAGTTATAAATAACAAAATTATAAGCACCAATTTTTACATTCTTTGGCTTGTGAGCTTGTTTTCATTTTCCAATTTAATTTCGAAAACTAATTTGCATTATTTAATCAATAGGTTTGGGAGTCCCCTTGCCATTCTTTACTTTGACCACTAAAGGGCAGCCTTGCCTAGTTCTCAAGTTTCACAGCTTCCAGCAATTTGGATTTGGAGCTGTATTTTATGAAATTAAACAAGTGGTTTCTCCCACACTTATGAATGAACTGTGAGATTGTAGATGATTTTTAAATGTCTTCATTTTTACTTTTTCCAATTAAGGCCCCATATAATTAATTAACAAGAAAAAGAGTACCTATACATTTTTTAAGAAAAGTTTTTCTTTTAAGAATTTATGCTAAGGACCTGGGAGATAGCTCTGTGGTCTAAGCACCTGCCTGGTGAGCACGAGGACTCAGGTTCAGCTCCTGGTACCGCATGCCATGCTGTCCCCAGGCTGCGCCAGCCACCCACGCAGGGCGTGGTGATCACGCCTGTAATCAGCTCTGGGGAGGGTGGGCAGGAGGACCAGTGTGAGGTCCAGTGCATCGCAAGACCCTGCACCAAATAAATAAATAACAGAAAAAAAACAATTCGTGCTGAGTGCAGAAAAAGGTAAAAATAGAGTTGTCATTACATTTGAAGTTTCTTAATCATGTAAGATTCTTCTGGATTAAATAACATTTTGTACTGTAACTCAGTGTCAAGGCTATAACGAGCACTTAACATTGATGCGCAGACACTAGGGAGATGATTATCTAGAACTTATCATGTTATTCTTTCACTTACTTAATTCACTGACTGTTATTTTTTAATTATGATTATTTTTTAATGTATTTTAGTACAGGGTCTGCAGGATCTCACTACGTAGACCGGACTCCTAGTGATCCTTCTCTTTTCAGCCTCTCAAGTGTTGCCATTATAGGCTCCTGTCACCTCGCCCAGTCTCAATCCTGTCTCAGTGTGCCCTGGGGGTGGGGCCGGCCCAGCTCACAGGGGATTGAACCCCAGCCGCTATCTTCCTCCTAAGCAGGCGCGTTAGTTCTCTGAGCTATCTGGCCAGCCCCGAATGTTGTATTTGTGTATGCTCATGCCCAAAAGAAGTTTTGCTTGAACTTGTTCACAAAGAGATGTTAAAATACATCAAAAAGAAAAAAAAATATGAGCTGTAGCCATTGCGATAGAGAATTATGAGAGCCATCCACCACCACTCCATCATTATGACAAAAGTATCTGCAAAAGTTTAGAGGAGGAAAGATTTATTAAAGCTGCAGGAGCCTTCAGGACATAATTCTAGATGCAAACTCTAACTAGAAGTTTGTCTGCATTATTTTCATATGTTAACGTCATACAGCAAATCATATATTTTCCAACTCCGGTTATAAAATGACTTCTGTATACATTTTCCATTGTAGGAGCTACTTACTCCCATTGAGTAAATACGAAAGGCAGTTACTTTAGTTGTGACTTTAATTCATTCAGGAGAAACTATTGTTCAGCAGCCCTCTAATCCCTGACAACTATTTTGAGTTGTGTCCTTCTGAGTATTTGATAGAAGCATCTTCACCAGAGCCACTCTCTTAGTTAATCTCATGCCTTTTCTGAATTTTCCAGTTCTGATGATTGCCACTATGCTTTTTTTTTTCCTGACTCTCTCATTGCAAAGAAAAATAGAAATTATAATTTATCAAGAAATTGCTGCGGGGCTGTTGTGAATTCATACATATCACCTCAATTGTTATGTGGCACGAGGTGCCCAGGCTCTGGGCTCCACATTTTCACTTTGACTCCTGTGACTCTGAGCCAGTGATTCAACCCCTGAACGCCTCGTGTTTCCTCTCTGTAAAATATTATTCATGCACTTACATCATCTGGGTTACTTCATCTGTTTCCTAGGGCTGGGTGCTTCACAGTGCTTTT